CATTTTCTACTTTCACTAACCACAATCCAGCCCTCCTACAGTTTGAAGTGCAGTACACTGGGCCTTTGTTTCAAAAGATTGGAGACCCCTGCACTAGGGCATTTGGTTTTACTTTTTACTATTTTCAGCCCCATACATATGCAATGCGGTGTTTGCCAAAGGCTATAATTTTTCACAAATTGCAGGGAGCTAAGATCCTGGTGGGCTATTGTCGATTTTCTCTTTAGTGAGGAAAAAAGTGACTCTTCATAAAATGATCTATCCTGAACCTTCTTCACCAAGACTTTTCCTGAATAAACTGGTGTTCATTTTTCAAATAAATTGGACTGAAATAACTTCACGGAAATCTGTTGAGGTATGGGAGCATTGATACTCTATAAACTTAACTTTATAACTAAAGGAGGACATTAAAATAGTTTCCTTAAAACACCAACTCTAAGCAAAAATTGTGCAGAACGTTGCCCTGAATTCTTGATTTACTATCAGATCTCTTAGATTGTAAGCTCCAAGGATCAGGCCCTCCTATCTCTCCTGTATTGAACTGTATTGTTGCTGTATTTTCTCCCTTTATATTGTAAAGCGCTGAGCAAACTATTGGCGCTATATAAATCCTGTATAATAATATTATCTCTTTCTAATGACCCTTCAGTCCATCTTTAGGCACCTCTGAAATATTTTTTTAGGCATCTTATTTTCTTCCATACAGCTGGTTGGCTGCTACTGAGAGTTTTTTTTTTTAAGGTTTCATGTGAATGTCTCCCATTGTTACTTATTATTGTATTCTTCCCATAATTTTCTTTGTTTTGTTGCTTTAAATGGAATGTAACTCACGTAATTTGTCTCTTATCAATAGAAAATATGTTTTTTTTTAAATGAATGGGAGTAGGGAAGTAAGACACAAAATGCTGAATGGTCTAACATGGTGGAGTATAGTGGGGAGCGGATAGCGATATCTACTCTCTGTTAATTATCAGACCTTAATCAAACCTTATCTATGTGCCTCTGTTCTCCTCCTGGTGTATGTGTCCCCTTTTCTAATTAGGGATGAAGGGTTGGAGTATGCAAAGACTATGCAGAATTATATCATTTCATGCAATTTTTCATATAAACATGTCTACACTGTGAACTGTTCATCATGATAACTCCAATAATATTTATTAAAAGACAAATATATAGCATATGCCGCTGACACAAAAAATGTAGCATGATTGTCATGCATTGTGTTTCACACTGCTTAGCTGCATTGTTCTGGATGAAATAGCCCATAGCTCTATTACTTGCAGAATACAGTGTGAAGAATACATCTCCCCAAAGGCTAGTTCCATTTTCTTCCTGGAATAACAATTTATAAAGAAGATAAACTTGCTGCAGATTGATGCTCTCTCCAGGTCAAGCAGCATGGATTTACTCAAATTGGAATGTGAAAAGGGAATATAGTAAAATGCAATACATTTGGATTTCCTTTTAACTACAGCTCAAGACTAATGGTTAAATACACATATGGATTACATATTTAAGAAATATGTGTCAAAAGATTTTCAAAGTAATGCACTTACTATTATGATGCAGCCTGTAATATATGGCTGGGTAGCACTAAAGGGTGACAACACCATTTAGAGACTGCAATTCTTCAGTGTCTACTTCAAGGCCTGCTCTCTGCTCTCTTTATAATTTGCAAAAATGAAGTCACGTTTAGAAGAAGAGTACAACAATGGCAAGCTCCATATTGTTTCATTACAGGTTTTCTTTAAAGCTTGGTTCACATGTTTGCTTCTCCATATTTCATGCATTTTTTGCAATTTTCTTTTTCATGCAGTATCATTGAAGTCTATGGGACCAAAAATGCACGTGGATGCACCCAAAAAGCTCCTGTAGTTTCCTGATACACAGCTTTCCTGCAAGTTATCTGCACTTTGCCATAGACTTTTATTATGTCTTACGGGTGTGGTGAATTTTTTGAAAGCTCACCAAACCCGAAGAATAAAATAGAAGTGCACTTCCCTGATTTGAGGTCGAGGGCAACATCAGAGGGCTCTGAGGGCCACATGTGGCCCACCCCTGTAGTAAAGCATGGAACTCCTCCTGTCATACATTGTCAGAACTCCAGTTTTCTCCCACATTCCATGTTAAATGCTGGTAGATTAAGTAGCTCATGTCTAAATTGGCCCTAATATGGGTAAACAAATTGGCTATGCACATGTGTTATCGCATTCTTCATGCCAGTTCCAAGCTGAGTAATTGGGGTGGGTTGAGGAAAGACCTGGCATCCTACCCTGTAAAAACGTTGGCAAGATATTCTATGGGAAAAACTTTTGGCATATCAGACATGGTGCTGAAACAGCTGGTCCATAAAATCTGTCAGAGTTGGATATGACTGTTTGGATATGTACTCTACATACATATTGTTAATGCAGTCACAGATACAGAAGAAACACACTGTACACAATCTTTGTTATAAGACATATTAGAAACACTGAACCTTTCCTGATTTTGCCTAGTTTTCCCCTGCAGCTCCCAAGTTCTTACCAATGAAAAAAACTTCCACAAACAAATTACAACACATCAGCCATGATGCACTTCAACTGTTATCCTTAGCAGCTTCTGACCAACTGACAGTCTTTTCACTTTCCAGTGGTACATGGCAATATGGAAGTTGGTCTTATTGCACTTATTGCTGGTCTCTGGCTCACGATCCCAAAATGACTTCATATATTTTTTGTCCATATGGATTTTTAGATTTTTAATGTTTTACTACACACAGAAAATATCTTTCTTACACAATTGTCCTACCTCCCTTGGCTTTGTGTGAGACGTCATTATAGATTGTTGGGAAAGCTAGAACTGCATTGAGATATACTTATCAGGGGAAGAATATTACTGCCCCAAACACCACACGAGGTCCTCCACCCTGTGGACTGAGGAGATCTGTTATGCCTAGATTGCAGCAAGCAAACCCTTAAACCAACTTCCAGGTGGTCATGCACTTCTGTGGTTAATCCAACAGAAAGTGTTGGATTTGTACACAGTGAATGATGCCAGTTGTGTTGATCATCTGAATGAGGTAGAATGGTGAGCTTTGGTGTGGAATGGTAGTAAAATTGGAAAGGGAGAACATAGTGTGGAATCCCAATGAGCCCTGATTGAGGCTCTTACCAGGAGAAACATTGCAGAAAAATGAATGCAGATAAAGTAACTATGATAAACATCTCATGGCAGTGAAACTATACTTGTCACTAAAGATTAGTGCAGTTGGTCTCTGTTTACTAGTTGCTTTCTTATTTTTCTATAATGTACTTTCGATATGTTTATGCAACGTCTTCCATCGACATACGTGCCCATCTAAAGTCTACAGCCCTTCATAAAGTACTGCCAGATATATATAAATCAATGTCTTTATACCTAGGATTTGCTAAGTATATCAAGCAATGATTTGTTATGAAAATACAGCATTTTCACCAAGGTCGTTTTGATCTCATTTTATAAAAGTTACCAAATGAAAGATAGAAATAATTTCAATAGAATAAATCTTGCTGATTTTATGAACATTAAAATATGTTTTTATTGTCCTTATTACTTGAAGTGGCAGTAAAATGAACTATTAATTCTAGTATTCCAATGACTAATGTAGATATTTTGTGCTGCATTTAATGATGTACATGCTTTATACTAGAAATAGATTAAAATATCTTATTTTAGACCACTTTAATGCATCATGTAAATTATAGTCTACCTCCTAACTTACTGGATCATTTGGTGTCAATAATGTGGTGCTTTGTAAATAGGTGCCAACATGTTTGGACCGTGTCATTTTATTGTGATAGTATTTTTACCACTGGTAATATTTATTGAGATGAAAATATACCGTGTGTTTCAAACAGAATGACCTGATTTCAAATAGTTATATTTAATAATAAAAATGTGTAACAGTTCATAACAAAATACAAACTATTAAGTAAGTCCTCAAGTTTCACTCATCGTGTTATAAATGCTCTATGTGCCCTCCACGTGCTGCACAGATAACATCAAGGTGACAGCTGAATTTGTTCCCTACACATCTGAGAGTGTCTTCTTCCACAGAAGTTACTGCAGCCGTGATTCTATTTTTGAGCTTATCCAAGTCAGCGGGTAATGGTGGAACATAAACATGCTGTTTTACATATCCTCAGAAGAAAAAGTCACAAGGTGTAATGTGTGGAGATCTTGGGGGGCCAAAAATATAGTGCCAAGTCTTGGGGTCCCATACAACCTATCCAATGTTGAGGCAATGTTTAATTTAGAAACTGACAAACATAGTTGTGCCAGTGTGCCCGTGCTCCATCTTGCTGAAAAATGAAATCTTCAGAGTCTTCGTTAAGTTGTGAGAAAAGCCAGTCCTTTAGCATTTCAAGATAGGAAAGTCCCATAACAGTGTTTCCCTCAAAAAAGAAAGGGCAATAAATCTTTGTAAGCAAAACCGCACAAAACACATTCATTTTTGGTGAATCTCGCCCATGCCGTACAAGTTCGTGTGGCTTTTCAAGTCCCCATATGCAAACATTGTGACACAAAACTTTACCACTTAGATGAAATGTTGCTTCATCACTAAAAATCAGAAGAATCTGTCTTCCTCCATGTTGTCTATGAGCATATGACAGAAATCTAAACATTTTCTTCTGCCACTTGAAGAGCTTGCACCAGCTGCAGTCAGTATGGCCTCAGAAGTAAGCGTCATCTTAACACACACCAAGCAGTCATATGAAGGATCACAATTTCTCAGCTAACATGATGAGCGGACTTGTGTGGGCTTCGCTGAAAAGCAATTTGAATTCGTTGCACAGTTTCCTCTGAAGTTCTTGGTTGCCCTGAACTCTTCCCTTTACATAAACACCCTGATTCTTCAAATTATTTATACCAAGGACCAGGGGCGGACTGACAACTCATGGGGCCCCCGGGCAATGGGGAGCATGGGGCCCCTGTGCTCTCACCCACACTCAAACCACACCCAAAAAAGCTTATGAAAGGTACCAGGGGCATCTCATGGGGCCCCTTACTGACCCCGGGCCCTCGGGCAGTGCCCAAGTGTCTGAATAGTCAGTCCGCCCCTGCCAAGGACAAATGTTCTTTGTAACTGGTGGATCAATCCTGAAACGCTATTGAAACGCACGCTCCACTGTTGTTGAGGACTCATTCGTGCTAAATTGGAGAACTCAAAATGCCTTCTGTTGCATAGATGCCATCTTGTTAATGAATGAGGTTACTGTCTATTTGGGCACTAGTGGTGTTATCTAGCAGCCGTCCTTTGAAATTCTAGGTTACGCCCCTTCAAGTAGTACAGGTTTCATTCATTGGCGGTGTGTGGTTGCACAGATATAAGGTGACATATAATGTGGGTACCTGAAGGTGTTCTGTACACAGGTGGTGTATAGAACATCGCCTAGAGATGCCTTTTCCTGCTTGTGTGATTGGCTCATTGATTTTCCCAGAAGTCTGTAAGATACAAAAAAGATTTTGAGCATCCCCTGCAACAAAAAAATGTCATTTTTGGTGTAATACTCCCAAAGAGTAAACATGCCTAAAGGGATGCAGACCCTGCCAATTTTCCCATTAGAGTCCTGCAGGTACAGAAGCTGACTGATAATTATGAAACCTTCCCATACAGATTCACTTTGCAAATGGACAGAAACAGCTATTTCTTTAAAAGAACAAAAGATAGGAATCTGCAACAAAGTTTGTTAAAATCCTTGCAATGTACATCGATCACCCAGAGGGGAATGTTTTTTGTCGCTTCAAAAGTGGAGTTACTCTTTAAGCAATCCACAAACGTACTGGTCTTAATGGAAAGTGGAAAACTAATGTACCGCAGGTAACCCCTTAAATTCAATCAATACATGTATTTAATCAGTAAATATTGGAATTCCATAGACATTGATTTTTCAACAAAACATTATACATCAACAAAAGTAATAAAGTTGGAAGGAAAATCATTATTTGAATACTTACTGCAAACCCAGCGTGAAAAGAGCAGGGAGCAGTAGGTGTGATCTAGCATATGGACTGACAGCTTGCTTTCTAGAGAGTGTGAGAGACTGACAGTCCATGGAATAAGATGCAATAAGACCTGCACTGACTAGACCCAGCAGGATACAAATTCCCTTTTAAGACTGCAAAGAAATCAATTGTACTGGGAAATAAAAAGAAATCAACCTTTAGAAGATGACACATACCATTGTTTATACACAGTGTCTTTTGTTATCACTAAAATAGCAGTCCTTTTTTACTGAATTTTGATACTGAGATTTTAACTCCTTCTAGGACTTTTTTTTGTGTCTGCATTCTACCAGGGTCTTCTTTTTTTTTTTTTTTTTTAAATCAATATGACTTATGTATTCTGCATTCTTCCAGGGTCTTCATCTTCTTTTTTTTTAAAGTCAATGCGACATATGTATTCTACATTCTTCCAGGGTCTTCTTTTTTTTTTTTTTTTTTAAAGTCAATGCATTCTTCCACTTTTTTTTTTTTTTCAATGACTTATGCATTATATGAAGATAAAAAAAATAAAAAGCCTTTTAGCCTTAACTTTTTATTTAGGTTTGGATACTAGGGGAGGGGGTATAACCTCGGTTAGGTTATTATTGCTGTATGTACCCCCATTGATGTTGCTCATTTCAGCCATTTACTAAACTGAGTTATAAACTTCAGTGCATCTATTAGGGAAGAATTTGGTTAAATTCGCCCTGTACTATGTGATCGCTCTGACCATCTTTTTTTTTTTTCCTCAGAAAGGAAGATTGAATAAATTGTGACCCAACATTTGAGCTAGAGGAGATGATTCTAGAGTCTAAACCTCTCCATAAGAAGAAAAAAAGATTAGCCAAGTACAAGTCAAGAGAGGCAGCCAAGGAAAGTTGTGCCCTGGTAAGTATTGTCAGAGACTATTAAAGCCCAATTAAATTCTCAAACCTTTATTCTCTTTATAGTCCTGTACTGCTGTATCCAATGGTTTTATCTGATTTGTAGTTGGAAATGCCTTCACATTTGGAGTGGAAATCCATTTTGGTGTTCTATGCTGGTATTGGAAATTAAAAGCCACATCCCTCCTTACGGGTGCCTTCATATAGATTTGTCGTGCTGGGAAAGAGAGGGTATGTGCCTGGTCAGGGAGTGCACTGGGCAGTGTGCTCAAATTCTGGTGCCTGGTGGACTGTGTAGTCCTTGTTAGACCTCATATAACTGTTGTTGCAGGAAAGTGGATATAAGACATTTTTCTATGACTTAAAGTGTATGTCAGGGCAAGATTTTAAATAAATGTACATCTCTGCAATTTGTGCATGTTTCCCCATGCTGTATCCCTTTAAAGTGCATGCAAGTTGCAAAAATACTTGTTCATCTGCTTTGATCTGTCACTTGTGACATGAGTAGTGGTGAACACGACCAGTCGGCAGGTCGTTGTGTTGGCTAGTCAACATCGTCAGGCCATGGGTTGTTATTATTATTATGCAGGATTTACTGTATATAGCGCCAACAGTTTGCCCAGCGCTTTACAATATAACGAGAGACAATACAGCAACAATATTGTTCAATACAAGAGGGTTAGAAGGACCCTGCTCCTTGAAGCTTACAATCTAAGAGGGAGGGGCTAGTGGTACAAAAGGTAGTAACTGTGGGGGATGGACTAATAGGAGGAGCAGAATATTCCATTATTAGCTGAGGGCAGGATAGGCTTCACTGAAGAGATAGGTTTTCAGAGATAGTCTAAAAGTGAGCAGAGTAGGCAATAGTCTGATAAATTGGGGTAGAGAGTTCCAGAGGATAGGGGAAGCTCTGGAGAAGTCCTGGAGACGAGCATGGGAGCAGGAGACAAGGGAGCTAGAGAGCAGGAGGTCGTGTGAGGAGCGGAGAGTACAGTTTGGGTGATATTTGGAGACAAGATTGGTGATGTAATTTGGGGCAGAGATATAAATGGCTTTATATGTTATTGTTAATGTTTTGAATTTTATCTGTTGGGCAATGGGAAGCCAGTGGAGGGATTGGCAGAGAGGGATGGCAGATATAGGTCATGATGATTGATATGGATCTACATTGCTGGGCATTTTTGAATTACATTGGAGAGATTATTAATGTTTTTTATTTATAAGGACTATATTCAAGGTATGGGTATTTTTTTCACTTTTTCTATTTTGGGATAAGTAATAAGGGGCAAAATCCCCTGGTAAATAAAGAGAAAAAAAATCTTAAAAAAAACGGAAAACTACTGTAGGCTCCTCATCTGAGGACTGATCAGCTGCAATATATTACATTTTTGTTGTTGAGTTTAGATATGCTTTAATTACAGCTGGGGCGCATTAGTCATTTTGTAATTTGGATAAAATGAATGTTGCAGAGATGAGTTCATGTAAAATGTATTTAAGACTTGGGGCGTTGGTGTATTTGATAATCAACATGCAGTGCCACAGGCTGTATATGGTCTGTACATACAAATGAACATTAGCCAAACTCAGAGCTCGCGGCTGCTAATTTTATAGTAGAGCAACTATTTTCTACATCATTTGCACTGTAATGCCCATAGCCACAACTTCTCTGAACAGATATGAGGGTAGACAGAGCACGCTCCAAGCAATAGAATTTTATTTGATCTTTGCGTGCAGTGTGGACTAATGCAGTATTTTATTATTTTCTATAATATTCTTTGAAGACATTAACATTTAAATAATTGTTATTACTACCACTCCAGTAACAGGGTAAGAATGCTAATGAAGTAGCAAACAGAATTTACATTTGCCAGGGAGTCCCAAAGTAGTAAATTGCAATAAAGTGCAAATTGCAGAAAATAGAATTTAAGTTATTTGATATTCCAGAAAATAACACAGTTTACTGTGTTATACAGAATGCGTAACAATGCTGTCATTTGAAGTTGTTTGCTTAAAGATGAGGTCCATTAACCACTGTTTGTGTCTAATATGGACGCGTGGATATTTTTTAATTTTATGACTTTATAGAAATCCAAACAACCCTTCTGTGTTATACGGTGTCCTCATTCCTCTAACTGAGATCCACGCTCATTCAATGTTTTGTTCTTGTGTGTGGCCACTCTTTTTCGGTAATATGCTATAGATGAGGTCTGAGCCACAAAAGGCATAAGTGTTTTTACTTATGCCCAGACTATATAAGGAAAGTATTTACATATTTTAAACAAGCCGTAAAAGCGATTTAAAATAGGCCTTCCCTAATTCCTCAAACTGCTTGTACTGTGAAGTTGTTCATTCTCAAAAATCACAACAAAGCCTCTAAAGTTGGATTGCTGTTGATTTCTGAACACTCATTCACACAGACATACTTAAGCATACACCTGTGCGAGGGCCATCTTTGCCTCCTTGGGATGCAGAGGTGTTCTGTGCATACATGTGCAGGCAGTTCTATTTATGTCAGTTAGGGGAGCAGCAGCTGAATGGGCATAGCCGCTGCTCCCAATTGGACATTCATGTGGGTGCAGGTGTATGCGGGTTCATGTCCTCGAACTCACACTTCTAAGACATGCACCCAAGTCACAGAACACCTGTGCATCCTATGCGGGCAAACATGGGTGTACACGCAAGGCTGCCAAGATCCTATTCTCCACAAAACACATTCAGAACTTTTGTGAATTTTAAAGATGAATTTGTCTGCAATACCTATAGCTACAGAGTTGAAAGAGGGCTTGTTTTAAATTGTTTTTACACACCGAGGCATCCTCAATAGGTACAGTCAGCGTTTTGTTGAAGGGGTCTACCATGGGGGCAGCCTTCTAAAACAACTATTGTTCTAAAAATGGTTTGGGAGGAGGGAACATATTGTCAGGATTTTTTTCAATTTCCATGCAGAATATATGCAGGAAATGGTACAGGAAACAATTTACTAGACTTTGGTCTTCGGATAGATCCCAGACTAGTGGCAGCAGTTGTAGAGGCAACAGGCTGTTAAATTTTAAAGGTATCTCACACTACATTAATAATAACAAAATGGTAGTTTTAAAGCCTGGGGCAATAGCAGCTGATTGATCTTCCTTAGGGGTAGAGTCATCCATTAAGCCCCATTTGTGGGACTCCTTGTCAGATATAGCATTCACAACAGAAAGTTTAG